AGATAAAACAGCGAACTGAATTGGCAGTCGAACAAACTGAAACATTTGGAGTTGTTGTTGTTGTTGTAGTATTATAGTGTTTCGTTTTGTTCGGCGACCAATTCAATACGCTTTTTTTTTGGATGGGTCGGAAAACGTCATAAGTCTCACCGGTGACTGGTTGAATTGAAGAAGAATTTATTTTGGAGTAAGAATTAACATAATCGATTGTTTACAGTGCACACAACTATACACATGAGGCAGTCAATGCAGTGGGCAAAGTTAACCTATCATCCGCCTGGGACAGTTTGTCAAATGAGTAAGTGAAATCAAATAATTGAAGAAAAAAAAAATCTAATCCACAATTAATGTAAACGATTCATTTTCAGTGTACACAGCATCACAAACGAAACCATGAACGCTGTGTACAATAATGGGACATACATCTGGGATCGATGCGACCCAAGTAAAATGTCATACATTATTGCTCCAGTTGGTGGTTTTTTCGGTTCAGTTGGCGAAATATTGAAAACAGTTGGTGTGGTAGTTGGATGGGCGCTACTAATTTTCATTGTGGTTTCATTACTGTTTCAAATTGTTGGGTTCGGTTGCGGTGGTATCAGTGCCGGTTCAATTGCTTCGTTTTGGCAATCGTGCATTGGTGATGTAATGGCGGGCAGCTGCTTTGCTATATTACAAGGTTGCGGAGCTGGATTTTGTAATGTTTATGCCTGGTTGATTATTCTGATTCTATTCGTTATATTTTCGGTGATCTCGGTCATTATTATTTGCACTTGATTTTCGAATTTTACTTTAATTCGGCAAAAAGGCAACATTTTTATAAGAAAAACTGTATTTTGAACATGAACTCAGAACATCGGTATATGATGATTAATTTTTGTTTTCAATGACAAATGGCATTTTTTTTACATAAAATTCGTTCTAAATTGCTAAATACTCTATTTGAAAACATCACATATTTCTAAGGTATTCCAAATAGTGGTCACAGCTGATATTTCAATACATTCTAATAACAGAACAATTGTACGAATCATTTTGTTTCTAAATACTAGTAAATAAGAATTCATTTGTTTATCAACATATTTGCATATCGAGTTTCTTTGTGCCATATCGTGCACACTTCTTGATAACATTTTCAATAAATAATAAATTATCAAAGTCATGATAAATTGCATTTTTATTTGATGTATTGGACATGATATGCTTTAGTTGATTGGCTAGACCAATGGCCATGAAATTTAAATAATTCGATTTGTCAATATGTGAGACTTGCATGAGTGAATTGAGACTTGCAGATTGAAAATTTTGTTTAAACGTCCAAAATTTCGCTATGTTATCAATAGAATAGTGACTCTCTCCGTAGTAGAAACAATTTTTGTTTCAAAAATCTGAATTTGATTTGACTATGTTTAAATGAGGATAACTTTTCTTGCTTATTTTTCATTAAAAAAAATTGAATAGCAAATAACATTTGTTCACATATTTCCTAATCCAATAGATAAGTAATTCTTAATTCCTAATCCAATAGACTTGTTTTTGATCGTTTCATATTTTGGTTTCTCAATAAAGCTCCTCAATCTTTTCAATGGACTTTCACATGGATTCAACACATCGTTCGTCTAGTACATCTTTTACATTTTGTACTAAATTGTAACATCGACGATGTGTTCAAGTGTTCAATATATGTATGTAAATTTCTGAATGGAAAAAAGGCAAATCTCATGAAATTGTTATTAAATTCATTATTTCATTTAAATAATACAAAAAAAAAGTTACCAACCGATATGATTCAAATTTAAACATTCACATGCAAACAAAGTGTCAAATCAAATGGAATCAACTTCAGGCCAAACAATGTCAAATGGAATGGTTTGACATAAAACGTCAGAGTTTCTATTTTATTTACGTTTCACTTGCAATGTGCTCGTGACTCACATTTATCTGTCAAACACATCAGTGCAATTTCAATGTTTACTTTGCACAAAGGTCATTTTCTTGTAAAACATAAATTTCTAATTAAAAAATTACATTTTTCCAATATAAAATCGTTTTTTTGTTATCATCAGCAGGTATTGAACGAAAAAAATTATCCGGTCGACTGAGTTACACCATCAATTTTCGGCCAAATTGTCAGCCACAATGAGTGAGCATGTAAACAAAGCAGAGTCATCTGCGAAAAAGCAAAAGTTAATCGATCGAATGGCCACAGACCATCACCAAGCGGTTGTTGCATTGGTTCCAAATGAAGATAGTCCACGTATATTCAAGCTAAACATTGATTGTTTCGATGAAATTTTTGACTATTTGTCCACGGCAGATTTACTTGGCATTGGCCAAACGTGTAAGACCATGCAACAAGTGGTGGGTGTATATTATAACTATTTAACATTACCTCGTTTTTCATTATTTCATATTTTTTACTTTTCGTCCTAGGTGGGTGAATATTTCAAAGAGAATTACACAGCAGCATCAATGTTCGGTGGGAATGATGGTATTTATCGTGTATTTTCGATCAATGGAATGGACCGTGCCGAAACATCTGGTTTCAATAAATTCGTCCGCTACATGTCGCATAGCTTTAATAGCCTCGGTCCATTACGTTACATCGAAACCAATGGTGCTCAGTTCACATCGTTGCAACATTTGTATCTCATTGGTGTTGATTTGGTCACAACACGCGTCAATTGTCTTCGAAATAATCTGCACCAATTCGAAATCATTCAAATCAAACAGTGCACATTTCAATGCGATTTTTACGAATCATTTCTTAAATTGTGTACCAATTTACGGCAACTGTACATACAGTATGATATTGGGGATATTATAAGGGTGGAGGAAAATGATTGGTTGCAAAAGAATTATCCAAAATTGGAGCACTTGGAATTGACACCAATAAAATTAATGCAATTCAATGTGAGTGAATTGGCACATTTTCTACACATCAATCCAAGTGTACGTAGCTTTTCAACTAGCATCCGATTTCTATGGGAAAATCAGCAGAAATTTCTACGCAGTGGCATTCAATTGGATACATTTGGTGTTAAAATTGGTCGCAACTATGGACTACGATTTAGAGACGTACTTGATGTGGAAACATCGATGATTTTTGATCTACTGAATCAACTGTATGCTCAAGGTTTGTGTTTTCAATGGCATATTGGTGTCAAAGCATGTTGTTGTTGAGTCAAGGCTCATTTACAGTTTGCAATGCGAATTTTTTTAAAAATCGATTTTCAGATACCTAACTCGGGGCCATGCGAGAAAAAAAATGGCATTCCTCACAATATTTTTTGCATGCAAAAGAATGGACCGGCAATTGTTTTGCATGCAAAAAAAATTGTGAGGAATAACAAATTTTTTTTTTTCGCATGGCCAGGCTAGGTACCTAAAAATCAATGCAATTTTTTTTTTCGAAACTGAAAAGTAAAACAAAATTTAAAATATATTTGTTATCAATAAATTCAAAGGTTTCTACAAGCAGCTTCATTTATTTGTTACACACATCGATGAAGAATACACGAATGAGATTGTATCGGTGCGAGGCCTTGAGAAATTGTGCATTAAAAATTACATTCAAAGCTATAATTTGCCGTTGGTGACGAATTTAAAGGAATTATCAATTATGGATACAACACCAACCGCCGATATGGAGATTTTGGCCAATGGATTGGTCAATCTGGAACGATTATATCTTTGTAAAACGACATACAACGACATTCTGCCATTCATTCGCCAGTCCGTCAAATTGAATCGGATCATTGTGAAGGGCGTGTATTTCAGTGAAAACATTTTCAAAGTATCGACAATGAACAAAGAGAGGGAAAAGCTGAAAAATGCACGTAAAGTCACGATTTATGTACCAGACGACCTGTTTGTCACGATCAAATGGGCCACCCCAAATGGAGACACAGACTTGAAATTAGTTGAAATAAAACGGTGCGATTCATATCGATGGGATCATCATTACTATTAATTATCGTCAATGGTGCTCAAAACGTGTTTCGAATCCATTTTCAACGAAGCGATCAATTTTCTAGTTTAAAATTCGCATTGATATTGATTTCTTTTTTCTTTTTTTTAGCGAAATTTACAAATGATTTTATTTTTGTTCATTAAGTTTGAAGAAAAACTGACGAAAATTTATCTGAAATATTTGACATTGATTGAAAAACGTATATATTTTTTTGTTAAGATTTGCTTGTTGAGAATCCATTCCCATCGACTGGTGCACGAAGTATATAATCAATTTTTTTTTCACAGATTCTTTCATATCTATATTTTTTTAATCAACCAAAGCCCTTGTTTTTTAGCCGACTTTCAATAAAGATTTCGATCAAAGACATGAATTCGTTCAACTTCCTTTTTTTTGCTACTTTGGAGTGACGCACTTGAAATGTTCGAGTACATAGACCCGATAACATGCGGGCTTGATACAATGCTATATTAAATTCAATGATTTATGGTGCACGCTTTTAAAGCATGGTTGAGTACTACTTTGCACTGGTATTGGTGTTTGTTTACAAACTACACGCGTGTAAAAGGAAACACACGTCCATCGGGTGACAAAAGAAGAATAAAAAAAACAGCTTATGAAAGATAGAGATTATTTACCGGCTTTGAACAATATGTCACATAGACACATAAACACATTATACAAAATTCTCTGTTCACACACTGCGGCCGATGATTATAAAAATAGCCACAATGAGATCATAGCGAAATGTTTACGTGAGTTTGGCATCGTCGATGATTAGTACGCATTTTTACTTCAAACCAGCCACTCATAGAACATAGCTGCTGCTGTCGCTACAACTACTGCTGCTAAAATAAATTGATCTCTGGAAACAATTAGAAAAACAAACGTTGATCGACTTTTTCAGCGGCTCTTCATGTTGCATTCAAACATAAAGTCATTTTTACTTGATTTGTGGACTGAAAAAATATCAAACAAAAAAAATAAACCAAGATACGAACACCGCAAATTATCGGCTAAGAAACAGACTCCTTGAAACAAACATCGTTGACGATAAACGAAAAATACGTAAAACAGTGAACAGGCGACTCTCACTCGTACAACACGTGATGTACGAATGATACTTTAACCTGAATCGATATTAATACGTATTTTAAAGTCCAAATGTGCAACTTTCCGTTGGAAATTTGCTCATTTTTTTCACACGTGCGGCTCATTAGACTTTTTAGACTTTAGAGTTTTAAAGGTGATAGAAGTGATTTTTTTTTTTGAAGTCGAGAAAAACGACATTGAAAGTGAACAGATGAATTGTCAAGAAAAACAAACTTGAATAAAATAGAAAAACATATATTTGAAGGAGAGAAAAAATCCAAAAAGTTTTTTGATGTGAAATAAAAATCGACTGAGTTTTGGTTCAATTCAACAATCAAAATATATTGAGAAACAAATTATCTTGGCTTTGAAAAAGTGACGAAAATCGAAACAAATTCGAAAAAGTTGATAAGAAAGTGAGACAATCGAAAAAATATCAAAAAGAAAGGGGAAAAATCACAAAAGCGGAGAACGAAAACATTTGTTTATGTAAGAAAATCGAAAATTAAAACCATAAAAAAAACTCTTTGCTGCGAACAGAATAAAATTTAAAAGTTAAACATTTGCAAAACAGAAAAGTAGAATGGAAACAATAGATTATTCCTATGAAGCAAATTATAGCATTGAAAGCAAAGAAAAAAAAAACTTAAAGAAAATTCCTAATAAAATAGAAAATACAAACAAGTTGAAAGAAAAAATGAAAAAAAATGGAATAAATGATTTTTCTCATTTTTGATTCTTCACAGTGTGAGGATTAAGCTAAAAACAGCAAATTGCTGACTGTAACCGGATTTGGAATTGAATTGTTAGTACCAGTTCGACCGTGTGAAATAACAAATCCAGGGGTGGTTGAACGCCGAAGTGATCAACGTTCGCTGCATAAAAGAATTTTCATCAAAAATGGTGGTAATGATGGGTGACGACGAAATATTGTGTAAAAAGCAGAGGTTAACCAAAGAGAATAGTACGGATGCGGATGAGTCGAAGAGTGAAATCACCAGTGCATCATCTAAAGAGTTAGCATCGAAAATATTCAAATTGAATGCAGATTGTTTTGATGAAATCTTCGAATACTTATCTCTGAAAGATTTGCATTCGTTCAGTCAAACATGTCGTGCTTTGCAAAAAGTGTCCGGAGAGTACTACAAATTGAACTGGCGAGCTGCTGAAAAGTTTATTGGCAACGATGGCATCTATACGATATATACCAATGATAAAAGTGTAATTAAAACCCAGACATCTGGTTTTAATCAATTCACACAATTTCTGTCGCTTCACTACGAAGACTTCGAACCGTTTCGCTACATCAAAACACACGCTGACGAGTTTATCCGTGTGAATCATCTGTATCTGGTGTGCGTTGGTTTAAATTCGGCCAAAATGACATATTTCGAAGGAATTCTACCACAGATAGAAACGGTACAAATTCGCCAGTGCACGATATGGAATGGTGATTTCTATGAAATCATTTTACAACACTGTGAACACAAATTGAAGCGTCTCTATGTGCAAGATGATCTCGGTGATATTATTAATAGAATGCATAACCCATGGCTACTACGAAAATATCCGTCGCTCGAACATTTGGAACTCACGCCACGATATTCATACGAAATTGTTGAACTTGGCCAATTTTTCGATTTAAATCCGAATATACGGAGTTTTTCGATTGGCTCCCATTGCCTGTGGATGAATCGCAAGCAGCTGATGGACAGTGGCATCAAATTGGATTTATTGGAAGTGAAACATTTTGATTCGGGATTTTACTTTTATCACGTCGAAAAACTGAGCATTCCATCGATTTGTACGATTTTGAATCAACTTTTCGAACGGGGACTGTACAAAAGGTTGCACTTGAGTGTCATTGATATTGATAAAGAGAGTATTGATCAAATGGCATCGATTCAAGGACTGGAAAGACTTTCAGTGAAAGAAGCCAATGGAATGACGGCTCAAATTTTATCGAATCTAAAGAATTTGAAAGAGTTGAGCATTATGGATTGTAGCAACACTGATTGGGACGAAGTAGCCGGCAATCTCACGAAGCTCGAAAAACTTTTTATACAAAATGCAACTTATGATGATATGCTGGCATTCATTCGACGATCATCGCAGCTAAAGCTTATCAAAGTCTTTCCAAGAGATAAGGAACATTTCAATGGGGGCGTCATGGATTTGGTGAAATTGAATGAAGTACGTAAAAAACTACCCAATGCACGTAAGCTCATCATTTACATTGAAGACAACATTTTTCTACCCACTAAATGGAACACTGATAATGGTGACACAAACCTAAGCTACATCGAAATGAAACGATCCAAATCACTGTGCTGGGATTATGATTGCTCAACATTTAAAACGATACATTGATAATAGTTATTATCACTAAAGTGATAAGTTCATAAGTTGAGTAGAATGTTAAGCGAAATTTTGGTGATTAAATGGCATTTTTAATCTTTTTTACAAATTAGTATCTACGTGAATATTTTTCAATTTGATACTTTGATTATATCACCAATTTTATATAGATAGGCTCGAAATTTGAGCCTCAAAGCTAGTGGAAATTTCGACTTTGAAATACATTTTTTTTAACGTTTCAGTTAAAATTTGGCTTTAGATAATAAGAAAAATGTAAACTTCTCGAAGCAACTGTAGAACGCTTTATAGCGTACTAAATTGAGCGTTAAGACAATAAAAGTAAATCTTAGAAGATATTTCTTTTTATTCGGTAGGTGATTTTTGTTTTTCTGTGTCAAGATTTAAATGCGTTTTTAAGCTAAAAACGACTTTCTTTAAACCGGATTTTTTTTTTAAATGAAAAAGTGAAAAATAAAATAAAAAAGACGTCATATTTAGACGCCGAAAATTTTTTTTTCATCATATCACATCACACCATTTTTCTTAAATTCCAACCTAAATCTGTATCTCATTAAAAATAAACGCAAAAAAAACGGTCTATATTTGTTGAAATAATATTCGTTCAAAGTAAATTTCATCAACTGTCCCCATTTATCAATTCACTTCCAAAAAATGAGGTGGATGTTGTTTCACATTGAAAAGGTCGTTTGGTTAGAACAGTATTCGAATCGAACACGCACATCATTGAATCTCTCTTATTAGAGCCACACCAAATGGTCACACAGATAATGCGCATTATTATTTTTATTACAGCGTTCGAATGGTTTGGATTTCAAAATGCAATAACTATTTCAAAACACCAAATCGAAATCAACACGCACAACAAGCAACAACCTCATTAAAAATTCAAAATGAGGCTCTATCAGCGATATGACTTATATACATATTACGAGAGTTTATATGATATATTTACGGCGTTGTCAGTTAAACCGGCATTTGTTTACAAACAACGTTCGTTGACATTTCACATTTAGCCAATAGAAAGAGCGACAATGCGTAAAATGTGCTATTTATGCCGGCTCATATGCACATACATTGTCAGTTGCAACTGTGAGAAAAATACTAAGGGGTAAGAACACAAGCGCTTGAGACGAATCCGTACGAATATTTGTGAATTCGTGTGATTGTGTATACGAGACATTCGCATCGCAGTGAGTGTAAAACAACAATAACAAAGCAGCGAACGCATGAATATATGAGAATCTATGTGAATCTCACAACTTGTTCCTAGCCCCTAGGCAAAATATTTATACATTTCAGGTATTAGTATAATGCGCTGTTATCGCTTTGACTTTCTATATAGCTTGTCATTTTTTTCGGGCTTAAAAAGTGAAACTTTGCACTTCATCTATTTTTAGACGGTTGTTGCAATAAAATACATACAATGTTGCAACGTTCCTGATTCGATTGGACGGTCGGACGAAACAAACAAGCCATTAAAATCGTTATTTTCCTTTTTAATAGCCAGATATGATGACCTGTCGAGGGGCAAATCACTTTAAAAATTACTTTCTATTACCTAGCCTATTTAGTAGGCAAATTACAAATTACTTTTTACCAAAAGTCATTTATGTATGAAAATGATATTAAACTAACATATTTTTTCAATGTACCGATGTATTACGATGTGACAGCTATACCACAAATTACTTTTATACTAAAATATTTGTTCATTTTTCTACTTTATTAGAAATTACTTTTCATTGATTTGCCCCTTGTGACCTGTTCTTTTATAAACAAGAATATAGGCGGAATGAAGAGCCTCTTATTCTTCGTGCTTTGAATAAATTGAATGTTTTAAATTCTCGAACCTTTTTACGTATGTATTAATATGAAGAATATAAAACAATCAATCAATTTAATCATTTTGACTCGTGCTTTGAAAAATCTCTTTCCCGAAATTTTGTGATATCAACTGATCATCGTATCATATGGCCAGTTCTAAATCAGCGCGAAAAACTTTAAATCGAACTAAATACGTGTCAAAATAGAACAATTACAATACTATTTCTTAGCAGAGATAACTTTAGCGCACCCGTGTATTTTCGTTATTTTTTTCGTTCTACTTTAGCTTTTTGGCCAATTTTTTTTTTAAATAATATTTTGTGTAACATAACGAAGAAGAGCTCACATTTTCTGCTCCCGGTATTCGCATTGTGTGGTCATATGCACTTAGTAATTACGCACATTGGCTCAATTTCGCAATATTACGCAATTTCTACTTTTTGGGGATCTTTTCTTTATATTTTACTAATATAAATATGATTTTTCAAAAACTGTTTTTTTTATGTTACACAAAATATTGATACAAAGTTTTTTTTTGGCCGAAAAAGGTAAAGTATAACGAAGAAAAAAACAAAAAAAAACAACACAAATAATCGGGTGCGTTAAAGTCATCTCTGTTTCTTATGAATGTGTCAGTTCTTTGTGATCTTTTATCTCTGTCTCTCTTTGATGTGCTAAGCTAGCACTACTAACCGTGTGATACCATATCAATAGCTCAATTCTCAATTTATTCTTAATAGGTCATTTAAACCACACTTTTGAGTCTGTGCTCATAAATCAATTATCAATGAGTGAATGAGTGTGCTTCCATTTGAACTGACCTAAGATAACAAAGTGTAACTTGAGACTTAGATTTGTTTAGCTAACAAAAGCTATAGAATCTAAGCCGCCCGAAGTATAATTCAGACCTATTGCCACCATGTAAAATACCGAATCAACAACTATCTGTAACTATTTCAAGCAACATACGATTTCAACTCGATTCAGCTGAAATTTGCACATTCGCAGTGGGAAGTGAGAGAAGAGAAGAAGGAGAACAAACATAAACACACAACGGCACGTTATGGGATGTCAATACATGCAAAGAGAGCAATAGTGTATGGTATGCCAATGTATGTGTACACGTACAGTGTACGCGTCAATGTATGGAGTGTTAGATTGAAGCAAATGAATTGCAGCAAGCAACAAGTGAATGTTATTTTTTCGATTTCTTCAAAAATCACCCGAAAAAAAACAAAAAATTTCTTTATTCAATAGAAATCGGTTTCAAAGTTCCTATGAAAAAAATATGATGACATCCGATTTTTCAATATGCATTATAATATGACAAAACAAAAATACACTTGTGCCGATTTAGCTATTTCATACAAACTTCAAGTCAGGAAACCACAATAGCTGTCACTCGTTGTGTCAAACAGTTGTTATTCGTCATAAGAGAAGAAAACTACTTGTGATTTATTAGGTTCTGCGCATTGCATGCACTGAGTTCACATCTTTGAGCGGTAAGAGTCTAATATTTGCGTAAATTTTGTGCTAAGCCATTGAATTTATGTCATTCTTTTCGATTTGCAATATTTTTCGGTAGCCAAAATTCCCAAATTATCAACAGAGGAATCTTTCAAGCTAACTAAGACAACAAGTCAACCTTGAAATTCAAGTGCACTGACAGCTTAATACAAATTGAACATTGATCAATGAACAATAAGGTGAAGGATTAATCGTCATCGTTCGACACGTCTTCTTTTGGAGTATTGAAAATGAGTGCGTCCAAAAAACGAAAATTGGTTGACGAAGAAGACCAACATCAAAGTGGCCCATCAACTGTGGAGCATAATATAGGTGAAAAGCAAGTGGCAATTGTGTCCCCAACTGAAGGTTGCTCCAGTGAAGAATCACGACCAGACATTTTAACTATCCATTGCTTTGACGAGATATTCGAGTATTTATCATTGAAAGATTTGCACTCAATCGGTCGAACATGTAAAACGATGCAACAAGTGGCCGGCCAATATTTTAAGCAAAATTATTCATCCACAAAAATTGGTTGCAATCAAAACGGTATTTACACGGATCTCAGAACTCAAAATCCAGTTCAATTTTTAATCTCAACTTTCCATCCCATTAAATTATTTGGATTTGAACCATTTATCTCTTCGATGTACATACATCCGTTTGTTTCACCGTTGACATATTTCAAGCTGCCGTGCAACGATGAACAAATCACCTCAGTCAACAAAATCAACATCAATTCTATAGTTATAAATTATCATACAGCGAAGTTGCTGCAAAGAATATTGCCACGAGTAGAAACGATACAAATTCAAAATTCTAAGATCTATGATTTGTATGAATTTCTGTTGAAATATTGTGGAGGTTTGAAGAGACTTTACATAAAAAAATCAAACTTTGATCACGATTATTACGATAAATTTGGACAACAAAAGTGGTTAATGCAACACTATCGACAACTAGAGCATTTTGAGTATCATCCACCGGATTCTTTGTTCTTGAACGAGTTGAACACATTTCTCGAACGCAATGAGAAGATTCACACGTTCGCTACGAGTTTGGAGTGTTTGTGGAAGAACCGGCATGCTTTCATAAACTCCGAAGCCAAGTTGAACATTTTGGAAGTGAAATGTTGTCAAGAATTCGGAAGCGATGAACCAACCTTGCAATCGCTATGCAATTTGGTCAACCAACTCCACGAGAAAGGATTTCACAGACGATTTCATTTGTACGTACAGAGAGTGGATGAAGAGTTCAACACTCAAGCGGTGTCGTTGAATGGGCTCGAAAAATTGTGCATCAAAGGTTTCCATGGAACTTTACCACCTCTCGCCGGACTCAAAGAGCTGGCTATTTTAGATTACTCTAAGGATTCGAATGAGCCGAGTGACAATAGAATGGAAACCATTGCAAACGATCTGCTTGATCTACAACGACTTTACTTAAACAACGCAAACAGCATCGATGATGTCATGCCATTTATCCGACGGTCACTGAAGCTCAACAAACTCAAAATCTTCTTCAAAAGGGATAGCTATCCAATCCAAAGCTCTTTCAGAAAACAAATTTTTCCACTGTCAAAACTGAACCGAGAACGCGAAAAGCTATTCGAAGCCCGCAAAGTCACGATTTACGTATCGGAAAAGAGTTTTGTGGACACAAAGTGGGCTACCAGAAACGGTGATATAAACTTAAGGCTTATCGAAATGAAACGAGCCGAGTCATACGAATGGAATCAATATTTCACGAGTAAAATCGAATAAAACACTGTAATTTAATCATTTATTTTCATAAAAACTTGACTGTAAGATCATCAAACAAAATATTTCAAACATTCCAGACAAATACGTTAAATATTATATTGTTTTTCATACAAATACAACCAAATATTGATTGTTTTTAAATTGATAAAATAAATAAAGTGTTTCAAAACCCGAATTTCTTAGATTCAAATTGAATTCAATTCAAATGATGAATTGAACCCGTACGCATAAAAACGACTTATAAAAACGTCGCCGAACAAAGCGAAACACCTATTTGTTACTCGTTCAATTCGGAACAAATTGTACACTGGTATGTTATGCCGACAAATCTATGTTACAATTTGATCGGCGATTTTTTTTTTGCAATTCGTTTTTATGCTCACGGGTTCAATTGACATTCCGTTGTAAAACGAATGTCACAACATACGATGACAGCTGTCAAAAGCTTTGTTCGTTTTCATTCTTTTCTGTTCTGTTAACGAGAGTGACGTAGTTGGGAATTCCATAGAATTGTTCATAATTATCATTTTTCGATAGAATTCACTCACATTTGCATGGGTAATCAGATTTACAATTTATTTATCTGAGTTAGAGTAGTAGAGTTTCGAAACTGTAACGTATACAGACGTTTTGATTGAATTTCATCGTATTTAATTCAAGCGGTCTTCTATTGTATTGAAGGTACGGATGAATAAAGTCGAAACTTTTATTGTATGTCAAAATTATCAGATGGATAGTCAAATCTTGGAAGTATCAAGCAAACTAAAATCAACGACGACAACGAAAGGAAAAGGAAGACCAAAAAATGAAAATAAAACTCAGTGCTTTTGTGAAAAGACCCGCAAGAGACATCAAGTCAGAGAAAAACACACAATTTTACTCCACTGAACTGAAACTTTCCATTGCTCAGCAGTACATTGCAAAGTGCATCGTTGAAACAGTGTATGAAAAAGTGCATCGCAATAATAAACAATTGTCAGAATTCGACTTGGTTCAAAGTGATTTATCAACAATTTCTTTCGTCCACATAAATATTGCTATATTTATTCAATATTTGACTTCAATTCTCATAAAATCAATGGAAACGATTTAAATCCATTATATTATCTTCATCCAATTGAATTCAAAGTGAATGTAACCAAGTACAGTAACAATGGGTACGTGTTGGAGTAAAACCAAGTTATCGACTGATAGTAAACAATCAAAATATGAATATAAGTCGATTAAAGCTGTCAATCTATCAAAATTTACGATTTTTGACTTGAATGTGGACTGTTTTGACGAGATATTCGAGTACTTATCACTGAAGGACATTCATTCATTTGGGCAAACATGCAAAACGATGCAACAAGTGGCCGGCGAGTACTTCAAACGAAATTATTCAGCAGCTAAAATAATCGGTTGTGAAGATGGAATTAACTTGGATCCTCATAATGAAAATCGAATTATGCTCAGGCTTTTCTTCCATACATCGATATCAGGTTTTGAACCATTTATAAATTCAATTACCATTGATGCCTTCTGTTCACCACTGCAATACATTCAACCGTACATCGATCAATTCGACTCAGTTAGAGCAGTCAGTCTATTGGGCCAAATCTTAACCAGGAATAGTGTAGCACCCATGCGAAAAATGTTGCAACAAGTGGAAACAATTCAAATTCAAATTGGCTGCGTATGTCATGATTTGCATGATATTTTTTTGAAATTTTGTGACCTGAACTTAAAGCGGCTTTATGTACAAAACTCAGATTTTGATTTCGGTTATTATGGCAGCACTGGAAAACGTAAATGGTTGATGCAAGCATATCCAAAACTTGAGCATTTTGAATATATTCCACGGGATTCGTTGATCTTGAATGAGTTAAACTCATTTCTCGAACGCAATAAGAAGATTCACACGTTTTCAACGAGTTTGGAGTGTTTGTGGAAGAATCGGCATGCTTTCATGAACTCCGAAGCCAAGTTGAACATTTTGGAAGTGAAATGTTTTCGAGAATTCGGAAGCGATGAACCAACACTGCAATCGCTATGCAATTTGGTTGACCAGCTCCACGAGAAAGGATTTCACAGACGATTACATTTGTACGTACAGAGAGTGGATGAAGAGTTCAACACTCAAGCGGTGTCGTTGAATGGGCTCGAAAAATTGTGCATCAAAGGTTTCCATGGAACTTTACCACCTCTCGCCGGACTCAAAGAGCTGGCTATTTTGGACTTCTTCAAGGAATTCGAAAAGCCGAATGCCAATGGAATGGAAACCATTGCAAACGATCTGGTTAATCTACAACGACTTTACTTAAACAACGCAAGCAGCATCGACGATATAATGCCATTCATCCGTCGGTCATCAAAGCTCAACAAAATCAAAATTGGCTTCAAAACGGAAAGCTTTTTTAGAAAACAAATTTTTCCACTATCAAAACTGAATCGACTACGGGAAAAGCTATTCGAAGCCCGCAAAGTCACGATTTACGTATCGGAAAAGAGTTTTGTGGACACAAAGTGGGCTACCAGAAACGGTGATATAAACTTAAGGCTTATCGAAATGAAACGAGCCGAGTCATACGAATGGAATCAATATTATACGAGTAAAATCGAATAAAACACTGTAATTTAATCATTCATATATTTTTTTACAAAGTTACCTGTTTTGTAAGATCAGATTTTTTTTCGAACATTGAGTGTCTTTTTTCATATTTAAATAGAACAAAATATTGATTGTTTTTGAAATAAATAAAAAAACGAGGTGTAGCAAAACCTTAAATTTCTTATATTTGAATTCAATTCAAATGAGTCTCCAATCTACATCCTCCGTTTGTGGGGCCATTCTTTTCATTCAATTGTTCACAGTGAAGAATTTATCCAAACAAGCTTCCAGGTCTTCCAGGAATGAACTTTAAAAAAAAAAAAACATCAAAAGTATGCCAAAAACCAATTAATTCATGAAATTCATTTCTGCAACAAATATTTAATTTTTAAAATTTGATTCATCTAATATTGTTGTAATAGCCTTGGATATACCAATAAATGAAATGAACTTGGAAATGAATTCTTTGGTATAACAACGACTGAAGTTAAAAATTCGAATGAATGACTTATCAATGACTTATTTCTTTCTACCTCTTTCCTTCATCCGCGATTCTATCTGCAATACAATTATGTGTTTTAACACATTGATTCTTTAACTTCAGAGTCTGAAAGAAAAATAATAAAAAAACGAATCCAAAAAAAGTGATTTTCCACTAAAATTTCGAGGTTATAATGCTCATTTTAGATGTTGATTGCGTGGAAATAATTTCAAAATTTAAGACGATTTTAGTTTTACCCATAATTTAATCACTCAATTCATGTGACGTCTTATTGTTTCGGCAAAAAATACCAATTTCATTTTATTAAAAAAAAAATTCAACTGAATTCACGTTCAAATTCAACTTCAGCCAACTTCATACCGAATGATGGGTTATCACCATTGATGACAGCTGTCATATGCGGATGGTTTGTTTTTATTTTTATAAGTGTGATGTCATGCAGTTGAGAGGTACACGGAATCGTATTAACAAAACGTAATTATGAATAGCGACGCGAGTGTTTTAATTAGAATTTAATTAAAAGGTTTAATTTAATTAATTCCATATCATTTAATTTAAAAATTTAGTTTAATTTTTTCTAATTGTTGTTTCCCTAGTGAATCTCAACCAAATTCCCTGGATAAAATTGGATTCGCTGTAAGTTCAACGGTGTTACTTCTGAAACTTCAAGGAGCTGTCATTTCTTAAGCTCCGAAGTAAATACTCATTAAGCTGATCCGAAGTAAAATCATCAGGCGACAATTCAAAATGCGTGATGAAGAAAGTGTTCTGGAAAATCAGATGGCGTCAGTTCATGGAGCAGTTGTTGATCCAAGTCAAATTCCAGTGGCTGATCGCGCGAAGTTTCACCAAATCACCGCTGTTAAGCAATCATCGCCAATTTTCAAGCTGACCGTCGACTGTTGTGACGAAATATTCGAGTATTTATCTCTTAAGGATCTGCATTCATTCGGCCATACATGCAGAGCGATGCAAAAAGTGGCCGGTGAATATTTCAAACAGAACTATTCCACCGTCGAAAATATCACCGAAGAATATGCTATTTACACGATATGTGATGAAAAGGGTAACCGAAAAAAGCTGGAAGAGCGTATAGAAACTTCAGGATTCAATCAGTTCATCGCGTCCATTTCGAATTATTATATTTTCAGTACATATTTGCTTCATTATATTCATGCAAACATCGACGAATTTCCGTTAATCAATCACATCACACTCGTTGGTTTCAACTTTTCGGACGATAGAGTTGAATCCATTCAGAACCTGTTGAGCAAAGTTGAGTGTGTAGAAATACGAGATTGTCATGTGAATGGTGATTTCTATGAATTATTTTTGAAATATTGTGTAAACGTAAAGCAACTGTATGTACAAGAATGTGATGTTGGATTCTATGATAGCGAAGATGAGGATGCGTTCGAGGAAAATCGATGGCTAGTCCACCAGTATCCAAAACTTGAGCACTTTGAATTGAGACCGGGTGATATAGTGGAAGAACGACCAGAAATCTTTCGATTTTTTCAGCTCAACCCAAATATTCGCACTTTTTCCACAACAGCCGACTGTGTATGGGCTAATCGAAATGAACTCCTTCGATCCAATGCCAAATTGGACATTTTTGAAGTGAAAATTTTTACACCCGCAATGTACTTTAACCTTGACTTCAGCACCGAACAACTGGTACAATCCATTCGCAATTTATTCTATCAACTGTATGAACGTGGATTTTATAAGCGTCTATTTCTTTATTTGCCAAAAGTTGATCAACCGATTTGTGATCTCTTGGAGTCGATGCAACACCTGGATAAATTATGTATTAGAGAATATGGGCAAATTTGTGGTTTGCCTGCACTGACAAATTTAAAGGAGTTGGCCATTTTGGAAGGAGCCAAAGCGACTGATATGGACATTTTGGCAAACAGCTACACCAATCTTCAACGGATTTACATAGAAAATGCAAGCATCGATGATGTTATGCCATTCATTTGTCGTTCACCCAAATTGAACAAAGTCAAAGTTATTCCCAAGGATGGAGATCATTTCAACGAAGGAATTTTACCGTTGGTGAAGCTAAATCGAGAACGCGAAAAATTAGATGGAGCACGAAAAGTCACGATATATGTTCCAGACAACATTTTCCTGAAAACAAAATGGGCAACCAGAAACGGAGACATAAACTTAAGGTTGATCGAAATGAAACGAGCTCATTCGTATGAATGGAATCATCACTTTTCATGAAGAGAAATTTTCTTCTTCTTTTTTTGTTACCAATAAAATACCATACAAAATTTGAATTTGCATAAAAGCAGAAAAAAAGATAGGAAGAGATAGTTCGTTGATTAGAATAATTTGAACAGTCCATTTCTTTGCTGTAACTTTTTTACTTTTCAATAAAATTTCATCACTTGTTTAACGATGACACCGCCTAAATAAAGAATTAAATACAATCAAAAGAAATGAACGAAAGTCCAAAGTGAACCGGATCAAATTGTTTGTCGATTGTGCAAATTGAGTAGTGATTCTGCGGTATTTTCTGATAAAAAAAGTGTATTTGCATCAAGAGTTAATAGTTTTATTTCTTTAAATGGAAAATCTGAATAATTTTTGCGAATAGAATCTTACGAGTTTGCCTTAAAAATGTTCAATAGCTAACAAATCAATTCTACTTTGAGATTTACCGTCAAATTTGGGTGTTGTTCGTAGTAAAAGCCGGTCGAAAAGAGCTATTGTTGTGCCCAAATATGACGACCGTGTTGAGGTTAACAATTCATCGACGTCTCCAATTTTCAATCCCACCGTTGATTGTTTTGACGAAATTTTCGACTATTTAACCATGAAAGATTTGTATGTTCATTCGGTCAAACATGCAGGAGAATGCAGCAGATTGCCGGTCAATACTTCAAGTCAAACTATTCAAACGCAACGACATACAGTTCGGTTTATAAAATTCGTACGATCCGTTGGCATGATAATGGTTGGGTACAGGGTCAAGATGATACGACTTGTTTCATGAAATTCATTACTTATTTGGTGATGGGATCAATGGAAGAGTAAGTCAAACAAAATAGTTAAATAAAGCTAATAAAAATTTGGCTCATCGTTCTTTCATTCATCCAACAGAGTCATCTCAATCTACACCGATATAACGCGGCCTCTTCCGTACATCCAGCTTCGTTTATCGGAGCTCATGTCACTCAATCTCATTAGCTTCATTGGTTTCCATTTGACCAAAGACGGTACACGATCATATTTGGTGGTATGGTGAAATGAAACGCGAATACTCGTGGCTACAACAACATGTGATCAACAGACATGTGATCAATCGAATTGTTTGCAGAACCTTGAAAGTCTGAACATTCGAGTGTTAAATGAAATCCATAGTCTATCTCAGCTGACGAATTTAAAGGAATAAATCATTCTAGATATTGGCGATGAAACGGATACAGAAGCGTTGGCTAACACTCTAACAGGTCTTGAACGACTGACCATTTTCAATGTGACCATCGAAATGATTCTACCATTTATTCGACGATCAGCGAAACTGAACCAAATCAGAATAGCACTTAAGTACGAATGGCTCGAACGGGAACATTTCAAACTCCGATCGTTGTATAAAGAAAGAGGACAATTGTTGGGTGCACGGAAACAGACTATCTACGTTCCAAAGGGCATATTCTTAACCATGAAATGGGCAACCGAAAATGGAGATTAAAATTTAAGCTTCATTGAAATCCGACGATCGAACTCGCATTTTTTGGACGTTGATTTTTTCATGCACGTGCCCTCGAAAAAATTGCAAAAAGCACCGAGTATTCCTGGAGTGATTCGAGGCCTCAAACACTTGCTGCGCTTGCGGCGGTTGCAGACAGCGCCGAATGGTGAGAAACTAAAACACACCAATCACCAATATTGATGTTCACCATCATCAAATGGTTCATGCTAAATTTTATCCACTTTAGACACTCATATATATTATTCTTGATTAATTGTATTTTTTTCTTCTACGGAATATAATAGGCAAGAATATTTATTCCCAAATTTTCTTTGTATTTTGTGTTCAACTCAAACAGTATTCGTATTCAATTTGCACTTGTTCACAAATATAAGCCATTTCCGAACCGCAAGTGGCATCATTCCATTGCAAACCATCACGGCCAGCCATTTTGTAAATTATATTGATGCAACTCTCATATGTATCGCCCCATTTAGTATTATCGGGTTGACCTTGGGCCCAATTAGTGCCCAAAACACTACATGTTTACCCGTTCCCATCCAGTAGTAAGTTTGGTCGTTGCCTAATTTTGTGCCTGATATCCAAAAATCTTTGTCATCGTGCCCTATGGAAAAGACAAACACAAATTCCAACGTTCTTTTGCATGTGAATATTTTCAAAGTGTCAATAAACTGCTGAAATCTTTGCAAAGGGTTAGACACAAATTCATACTCAACAAACACTCAGAGATACTAGAATCTACTCGGTGCTACTCGGTGCCATTTGGTTCAGTGTAATGTGTAGTATACACAGAGAACTGTCAAAGTCATTTGAGTGTTTTGAGTAGTTTCGAGTTTACATTGAAAATGCATAGATATACTCGGAACTACTCGGTGCAAAATGAGACAAATTCGTCAAAACTTGTACGTTAGAAAACTGTGTCTACCCCCTTGAATCTTTGTCATATTTGAGCCCTGAGTTACCTTCGTCTTCAATTTGCTTTACAATTCGATTCCGTTCCTCTTGTGATGAAATGCTGATCAAATGCATGTCCAGGGTGCGACAATGCTCAAACGCTTTATACCAATTTGTCTAGAATTATGAAATAAAATTAATAAATAAAAAAATACGGAATCCGAATTGAACGGATATTTTGATCGGTTTTAGAATGCTTCATAATGTCCCCGATGAAGTTCTAAACCATTTTATCATAAGGATGTACGGCAATAAGTTTTAGAATTTTATGTGGCGATAGCACAGAGATCTTAGTGAACTATAGTATCATCATAGCTATGATTTCTGAATACAAAAGTTCAATAAACGAATGCTTCATTTACTAAATAGAACTATCAATTTGTCTTCTTTTTTTTCTCACCTTACTCACTGTTATGAGGTAATATTTTTTGATGGACGTTGATTTTGGGTGGTAAACTTGGCTGAAACTTGGTACTGAAAAAAAAACGTTAATGGAATATTCTTTATGCGTTTATGAATCATTATTACGAAAAAAGAGTGAGAGTAATAGGAAATTAAATGAAAGTCTTTCATTGAAAGGATTTGTGAATATATTCCGCCGAAAATAAAAGGCGAAATTCTCATTAAGAATAGCGTTTATTTTTAAATCTTATCTTCCGTATAATTTTCACATACCGATGACAAAGGATAAAATGACGAAAAGCACGGTCAAATTCATTTTAGTTTGATTTACTAACAAACAATTATTATTGAATAGAATACAGAAAGTATTGCAACCAATCTAGGTGACAGACGGAACGAGACTAATAGAGAATCTCAGTTATTGGCAGATTTATTATCAAATTTCGAATGATGCGCCCAAACGTTGCTATGCAAAATAATTTGAAACTTTGACCTTGAAGCAATTAGTGTTTATATCAATTGATTGGACGTAATGAATCGAACAATGTTGATGGCATCAACTTGATGCACACATATTCGCATTTGATAAATAAAATGAAGTAGTACAAAAGACTGAAATCGAATCAAATTTGACCGTGCAAAACATTCGTGCAGCCAAGAAGCAAAAATTCAAGTTACAAAATAAACTCATCAATGACTCATTATCGTTTAAATTCTAAATTGAATTGCATCTCGTATTTGTCGTTATCTCAAGACAAGAAGCTCAACCCGAACATTCTTTCAAAATACCAGGAAATTCAAATAAATAAATTCAGCTTCTACACTTAGAACATTGCTACGACTTAGAATAAACTTAAATTCTATTACATCTAACCAATAAAATTAAAGACACAATGCAAAGACTACATATTTTTCCCAAACATTCTATAGTTCATCTTTATTTTGCTTCTGTAGATCCAAAGACAACCTTGCAGCTCGCTGTTCAATGCTTACCCAAAAGTCGATGACCTTCTGATTTGGACTTAATCCAGTTTTGATGCCCTCATTCATAATATCAATGAAATGAACCTCATCATTTCGAACCGGCTGAACTCCGTCGATGGGATCACTTTTGTGGGACGGTTCACTGCACAAAAATTGATTCATTATTATTCATTTTGAGCAGAGATTGCATATTTTTCATTTCTGTAACAATATCAGACACATCGTACCCATATTTTGCAAAATTCGTAATAATTCTACTCAAATTTTCAATTGCTTGAGTAATAACTTTCGATTCTTTGTCATCTTTATTGTTCAAAATTTCATCGTAGATTGACTGAGCCACGTTCGAGCTGCAATTTCAGTAAATTTCAACATTAATTTAATTTTATTTAAAGAAAAAATTGTTAGTTTTGATTCACCGAAACAGATAAAATATATCGTCAAAATGAGCAGCGCCGCCAATATGAGCAACATCTTCACTTCGAGGTATGATAGCGTTTAATTTTGTGTAAACTGAAAACCTATTTAAAATGAATAACACCTATGTATATCCGACTACAAAATTGATAAAAGGTCACATTTTTACCTTTGGTAATAAGTTTTGCCTTTAGATTTGGCCACATGGACTCTCACAGCTTTATCAGTTCCATAACCATAATTCAAATCTGATAATAGTTCGACATATTTTTTCATTGCTTGGTCATTCTGTAAATTGTCTTCGAAGTAAAAACGCCGAACTTCATCCACTAAACGACGATACTCCTTTGTAAAATGAAGATGAAGTATTAGCCGTATCATATATATACATACAAAGGTATGTATGTAATATTCTATGTATTGTATATCCATGCGGAATGAAATACGAAAAAGTATTAAACTTACGTTCGAATCAAGTGGAATTTCAAGTCCTCTAAACGGTAGTGATATATTGAAATTGTTAAGAAAATCGTTTAAAGGAGGAAACATTGAAATGAATCCAACTACTTCCTAATGGATGAAATTCAAATAGAAGACATTGAAAAAATTGCCTAAATTTTTACACGAATATCACAATGGATATATTACCGAAGAAGTCATGGTAAATAATGTGTTAACACTGATCTCTTGTGTTTCATAGATTTTTTCTGGCGAATCAATAATGAATGGCTGCTTGGCATCGTTTCCTGTTGGAGAAGAGCAAATCGTTGATGTTTTTCTTTTTACAATGTGACATGTCATATGTCACCTCATGCCTTGTGTAAAAGAACACAAGATTGATTTGTTATATGCAACAAATCGAAAAGAAACCAATCTCATTTGAATACTCACTCTCAATAAGCGGCGTGAATACAATTTCGACCAATACATTTGGTACAGCAACTGTGCTATATTGATCAAGCTTTTCGGCTGGAGCTGATTTCAAAAATGCTATCAATTCATCATGAGTACTCTTTGGTTCACCCAAATCTCTGGCTATTTTGTAAGCGAGTTCCACATGATCATTATGTTCCGACATTGCCCAATAGTGATCGGCTACTCCGCTCATTGGAATCGCGTTGTGGAAATATTTTCGCGATTCAGCCGATAGAATGTGGAAATGAATAGAAGCACCTCCTACTCGATGGGAGAATCGCAATTCATAGATATGTTTCAATTAATAAACGTATGATTTAAATGCCAAGAAATGATTGATTCACCTGCACTTTGACCGAAGACCGTGATTCGTTTATTATCGCCACCAAATCGTCCGATGTTTGAGTGGACCCACTTCAATGCCAACTGCTGATCTTTCAGACCCATGTTACCAGAGTATTCTGGTGTGTCAAGCGACAAAAAGCCCAACAATCCTAGCCGATAATTTATTGTTATCAAAATGGTTTGGTTTTCAATGATGAAATCCGGTCCATAATAATGATCGTTGCCTGATCCCTCAGCATACGCCCCACCATGAATAAAGAATAGCACAGCAAATTTCTCTTTTGAGTTCACATCAGCTGAAGGAGACATGGAATATGTAGATTAATTAATTTTTTTCCTTGTACTTGTATGAAAACTATTTCCCAACCCCATTTTATTACAGTTAACTGAAATTTATCCATGTCGATTGGTATATCCCCACCATTTTTTATACATACAATCGTTCTAGTGTATTCTTACCTGGAACATAAATGTTTAGTGTTAAACAGTCTTCACTTTGTGGAAATGGTGATGGAAGTAGATTTCCAGGCTGTACACAAATTCGTCTGTGTTCAAATGCATTTAGTACATTAGTCCATGATTCGATTGGTTCTGGTGCCTTTAGTAATAAAAAGAAAATTGGTATTCACTATCGAAAATTGTGAATGATCTTCTAAAATAATGAATGTTTGTAATGAATAGCAAAAATACAATCAAATTGCTTATTTGACCTTGAGTCGCAAATCTCCAACGGGTGGCTTCGCGTATGGGATTCCTTTGAATGAGTAGAACGGAACCCCTTTCAGAAGTGTCCTTCTTTCAATGCCACGAATTTGACCATTTAGCGTTTCAACAATTTTATACTGTACCGACCGTATCCCACTCACAGTACTAATCAATATAACAACGAATAAACCAAATCGCACTGAAAGCATCATTACGATAAGCGAGCACACTCAGGCTTGTAAAAGAAAAAACTTGTTGGAAATTCGATCAAATTTGCCCTAAATGTCAAATCAGTACAATCGGTAAATGAACGCACCCCAAATAACCATAAAAAATACATTGAACGAAGTTAGGAACGCAATCTTAGGGCAAAGTTTCCAACAAGTTCTTTCCAACCGAACGAAATGATTGATGAAACGAGACTAATTTTCTCAAGAATTTAGTGTTCGACTTTATTCTATCGTCGATCACTTGTTTAATTCATGACGTCATTTTCATAAATGTTGAACAAAATGCAAGAAATAGGAAATCAAAACAATTTAAAAACGATAATAGGTTATAATCATTGTTATGGTAATAAGTAAGGTTTTGTACTTTGTATTTTATGATTCGTCGCGATTCAAAAGCAGTTTAGCAGCAAAAAATAATAGCCACACAACACTAGTAATACTGAGATGAATATGATTGCGTGAGTGAGTATGATTTTATCGCTGCTACACAGCTTACTCATTTCTCTCATGATTAACATAAAATGTAAATAATCCAATTTTTACGATTTATAAACTAATAGCTATTAACTTGAAAGAAAAATACCATGCAGTAAAACAAGTAGCATTTTACTCAATAAATGTATTTTATATTGGACGCATGACCGACAATTAAGTAGTCGGCATTCATAGACTCTGTAAAGTTCGATGCTAGTAGCTAGCGTCTTTGTATCGTGTGTGTTTATGTTAGTTGCTCAACGTGTTTTGCCTATTTCGTAAGATCTGCCTGCAGTCGCCAGCAGTAATCTGAATTGACACGGTGAAAATCTCTTCGGAAAATTCATCATATATAATTGAATGAATTGAGCGATTCAAATAATTCACCAAATATACCAGTTCATGTTAGTGTAAAATCTTCAAAATAGTTTAAAATTATATTTTTCCATTCGCATCCGCATAACGCTAATAATCTCCCTATTCTGTACGCATGCTTTGCATGCAGTTAACGCTTAAAATATGCCTGAAATATACAACGAAGTGAGTGTCCAAAGACAACTGATTTATTCACGAAGTTTTTACTCTATTTATACAAAGTCCTCTTATTACTTATACACGATCTCCCTCGATTATTACTTATACACGTATGTCGTGTTTCATGACACTACTTATCTGCTTTGGCTTAACTATCGCCATGCCTAATGGTCACGACCAATCATACGCTTATAATCTCGCATTTATTGTATACAGAATACGAAGTGTGAAATTGTGAGGCGCAGTGGATTTCATGCGACGAAGTTCAGTACTAATTGGTGTTATTGAGCTGTAAATAGCCGTAAGTGATTTCGACATATTGTGAAATACCACAAAATCACACCAAGTAGTACTGAATTTTGCCGTACGAAATCCACGTCGCTCTACAATTGTTCAAAATTTGACATGGTAAAATTCATCTTTCCTGACGTCAAGACTTTTAGCCGTGTCGATGATCACGATAGTTTGAATCCTACTCCTATTATCTTCCCGTACGGCTCGTGTATAAATTCTGCCTCGTTTCATCGGTAAATTAAAACGGTCATATTTTCTCTGAAGACTACTTTTTACTGGACAAAAAAAATTTGATCTCAATAATCGATAATTGTTTATCCCCAATTTGTGTTTGCTAAATAATTTATCAACTATTTGTGTATGATCATCCAGACTTCCGGTTAGGGCACTTTTCATTTCAACAAAACCAAATTTGTTTCTTTTTCTCTATTACATCCACAGAAATCAATAAAATCTAACTCAAACTTGTCAGACGAAATGCCTTCTACGTTCGACGACGTAACTGAAAATAACAGCACCAGTAATCTTCATTACGGCAACTATAAGCGATTACCCGATGAAATTGTCATCTCTGGTATGTCTGGACGTTTGCCAGAGAGTTCAAATATTGAAGAATTCAAGGAAAATTTATTCAATGGCATCGATATGGTTAACGATGATCCACGTCGTTGGCCAAATGGTTTATTCGATTTACCTACTCGAATGGGTAAAATTAAGGACATCGATTTGGAAACGTTTGATTCACAATTTTTCAGTGTACATCAAAAACAAGCCGAACATATGGATCCACAAATTCGAATGTTGCTCGAAGCAACACACGAAGCCATAATTGATGCTGGTTTCAATCCACAGGAATTACGTGGCAGCCGTACAGGTGTGTACGTTGGTCTTGGAAATGCTGAAGTTGAATCATATTGGAACACTGATCCAGATCGTATTAATGGCTATGGTTTGACTGGATGCCAACGTGCTATGTTTGCCAATCGTATATCATTTACTTTTGACTTAAATGGACCGAGCTATTCGTGTGATACCGCTTGCTCAAGTTCATTGTATGCATTGTCACAAGCCTTTGACAATATAAGAGCTGGCAACTGTGATTCGGCCATTGTTGCTGGGACGAGTCTCGTTTTGAATCCGAATATATCATTGAACTTCAAACGTTTGAATATGCTGAGCCCTGATGGAAAATGCAAAGCATTTGACGAAAGCCGAAACGGTTATGTGCGTTCAGATGGTTGCGTTGTAATTTTCTTGCAAAAAGCCAGCCAAGCTCGTCGTGTTTATTCAACTATTTTGAATGTTCGCACTAACACTGACGGTTACAAAGACCAAGGTATCACATACCCAATTGGCGCTATGCAAAACCGTTTGATTCGAGAAACATATGAAGAAATTGGATTGCATCCACACGATGTTGTCTATGTTGAAGCTCACGGTACTGGTACCAAAGTTGATGATCCACAAGAAATCAACTCAATCACCGATTTCTTCTGCAAAGATCGTAAAATACCATTGTTGCTTGGTTCAGTAAAATCAAATATGGGACATTCAGAACCGGCATCAGGCGTATGCTCAATTGCTAAAATTATTTTGGCCATGGAGTCTGGCGTTATTCCAGGAAATTTACACTATAAAATACCAAATCCAGATTTGTATGGTATTATTGACGGTCGCGTAAAGGTTGTTGATCGTAACACTCCATGGAACGGCGGTATCATCGGTTTGAATTCATTCGGTTTCGGTGGTGCTAACGCTCACGTTATTATGAAATCAAACCATAAACCAAAACCAACCACACCATCTGACACAATTCCTCGTTTGACTGTATTCTCGGGCCGTACTAGCGACGCTTGCAATTTACTTTCGGACGAAGTTGACATAAACAAAACCGACGAAGAATTCTTGAGCTTGGTGAACGAAATTCATTCAAAGAACATCCCATTGCATTTCTACCGTGGCTATGCACTATTCGGTGACACGAAAACCATTCACAAAGTCGACAAACTGGTCGATGATAAACGTCCAATTTGGTACATTTACTCTGGTGTAGGATCACAATGGGCTGGCATGGCTAAAGATTTAATGCACTTGGAAGTGTTCCGCAATAGCATTAACCGTTGTACCGATGTTTTGCGTCCAGAAGGTGTTGATTTGGTTAAAATCCTCACCGAAAGTGATGAATCAACATTCGATAACATTTTGAATTCATTTGTTTCGATTGCCGCCGTCCAAGTGGCTCTCACCGATGTTTTGACGCACTTGGGCATTTTCCCGAACGGAATCATCGGTCACTCAGCTGGGGAAGGTGTCTGTGCATATGCTGACGGTTGCTTCACAACAGAACAAACCGTATTGGCTGCATACTGGAGAGGTCGCAGCCTCTTGAAATCTGACGTGAAAAAGGGGATGATGGCTGCTGTCGGTCTATCATGGGAAGAAACAAAGGTAATTTATTTAAAGTTGAAATCATTTTTTAATATGGCGAGATTTTCATTGGTTTTTTCTTGTTTTGTTGATAGGCTCGCGCTCCAGCTGACATCGTTGCCGCATGCCACAACAGCAGCGATAATGTAACCATTTCAGGACCAACCGAATCAGTAGTAAAATTCGTTGAAGAACTGAAGAACGAAGGTGTCTTCGCAAAGGCCGTTAAATCATCTGGATATGCTTTCCACAGCAAATACATCGCCGATGCTTGCCCGAAATTGAGGAAATCATTGGAACGAATCATTCCATACCCAAACAACCGTACATCACGCTGGATCAGTACTAGCATTCCAGAAAACGGCTGGACAAATCCAATTGCTCAACAAAGTTCACCGGCTTATCACGTCAACAACCTACTCTCACCAGTTTTGTTCCACAAAGCCGTTCAACATATTCCAAAGAATGCTATCTGCATTGAAATCGCGCCAACTGGATTATTGCAGGCCATTTTGAAAAGATCATTAGGAAGCGAGGCCGTTAACTTGAGCTTGATGGGACGTGGCCACGAAAATAATCTCGATTTCTTCTTGCGAAATGTGGGAGAGTGAGTTGATTTCCTTTTTCCATCCTAGTTTTTATCTTTCTTGTTGGAAAAAGGACAATTTTTTTTCAATAAAATATCGTTTTTCTCCTCCAGATTGTACGTCGCCGGTGCTCAACCACAAGTGTCCAAATTATATGCACCAATTTTTTACCCAGTTGGTCGTGGAACACCTATGTTGAACTCGAAAATTGGCTGGGATCATTCGCAACGATACTTTGTACCAAAATTTGGATTGGATGGTAAGTCAAGATTCTCAACTTGAGAAGGATGAAAGCAATCGCGATATTTGCAAAAAAACGGTAAAAAATTGATTTTTCATCTCTTCTTTTTTCTAGCTAACACCGGTGATGCTGTAGTCGAAGTTAACCTTGCTAATGATGATGATGCATACTTTTCTAGTCATACGTTAAATGGTCATATTATGTTTCCAGCTACTGGTTACATGACATTGGTGTGGCGTGTATTTTCCAAGACGAAAAACAGCACATACGAAAAGACCCCAGTCGTTCTCGAAAATGTTGTTTTCCATCGTGCAACTATTTTACCAAAAGAAGGCTCCGTTAAATTCCATGTCAAATTCTTGGATGGCAGCAATCGTTTTGAAATCTGTGAAGGTGGTTCACTCGCTGTTTCGGGTAAAATTTATGTACCAGAAGATGTTGAAATGGAACAATTGCCATTGGATCCACTTGAGCAAGACAAATCGGGACTTCCATTGAATTCCAACGATGTGTACAAGGAATTAGGTCTACGTGGTTGCAATTTTACCGGTAAATTCCGTAGTATTAGCGAATGCGATTTGAATGCTGTCACCGGTAAATTGCGATGGGATGACAACTGGGTATGTTTTATTGATGGTATGGTGCAATTTGGTGGTTTGAGATATAAAGATACACGTGAATTGTATTTACCAAAACGTATCGAACGTGCCGTTTTCAATCCAACCAAACAATTTGAAATGAATGAAACTTTGAAACAAAACAATGCTGATGTTCCAATTTATGTGTACAAAGACATTAACGTCATCAAATCAGGCGGTGTTGAAATTCGTGGATTGACCTATTCATTAGCACCACGTCGTCCACTCTCACATTCGCCACCAATTTTAGAACGTTATGTATATGTTCCATTAAAAAATGCCAATCAAGATTTGTCAACGTTCGCTGAACGTGCTCGATTGCACGCCGTTTCGGTTGCAACCCATTTAGCAATTGAAAATAGTGGCGGTGCATTGAAAATTAAAGTAGCTGAAGTTGTTGAAAGCAAAGCAGCCAAAGACACGCTCGCCCAAATGGTTCAATCAATTATCGACAGTGAACCAACATTGGCCAGCGATGTTGCTATTATAAACAATCAACCAGCTGAAGCATACGTTCAAACTGTCGGTGAATCTGGCATTCGTGTCGTTGCCAAAGACCCAAACACTGGACCAGTCGAATCAAACTGCCACTTGGTTGTTGCCTACAATGTTGTTTCAAGTGCTAATGCCAACGTTGTTTTCAACAATCTCAAAGCCTCAATCAAGGAAGATGGTTTCATTTTGCTGGAAGAAAATGTCGATGGATATGACGAAGTGGCCGCTAAAAATTTACTTGCCAGTTGCAATATGGCTATCGTTTCGGTCCAACGTGCCGCAGATAAATACTTCGTTTTAGTTCGTCAAGTTGTCGATTTTGCCCACCGAAATAAGACCATTGTTTGGATTACCGAAAAGAACTACTCTTACCTGGAACCACTGAAAGCCGCATTGGCAAATGCGAAAAAAGATCAAACCTATGTGTACATTGTTGGACAAAGTGAAGAACAATTGGGTGCTGTCGGCTTTATGAACTGTATCAAGATGGAAAATGGCGGTAAATTTGCTCGTTTGGTATTCATCCAAGATGTTGACGTCAAACAATTCTCATTTACAAGCCAAATGTATGCCGAACAATTGACCAAAGATTTGATAATCAATGTTTACAAGAATGGCAGCTGGGGAACATTCAGACACTTAAAATTAAATATTCAAGGTGATCAAATTTTGCCCGTGGAACATGCTTACGTCGATACATTGACCAAACGAAATTTGTCCAGTTTGTCATGGATTGAAAGCCCATTGTCTCGCCAATCGCTCGATCGAATGGACAAAAAATTTGAATTGTGCTCCGTTTACTATGCACCAATCAATTTCCGTGATGTTATGTTGAGTTCTGGAAAATTATCGGCAGACGCTTTGCCCGGAGATTTGGCCACACAGGATTTTGTCCTGGGTTCGGAATTCGCTGGACGTGACTCAAACGGAAAACGTGAGTGAAAAAATCTTAATTTTAAACATTTCAAAGGTTATCAAAATATTGTATTGAACATAAGACTAATGTGGTCCGTATTTTATCACAGGTATTATGGCTATGGTTCCGGCTAAATCACTTGCCACAACCTGTATCGCTCAAAGAAATATGATGTGGAACATTCCAAGCAATTGGACAATGGAACAGGCATCGACCGTTCCAATTGTTTACTCAACCGCCTACTATGCTTTGGTTGTGATTGGCAGAATGAAGAAGGACGAATCGATTTTGATTCATGCTGGTAGCGGTGGTGTTGGTCAAGCAGCCATCAGGGTTGCATTGCATCACGGATTGACCGTATACACAACTGTTAGTAGCAAAGAAAAACGGGAATTTTTAAAGACAACCTACCCACAACTGACCGATGCAAACATTAGCAACTCACGTGACACATCATTCGAGCAATTTATTATGCGTGCCACCAAAGGAACGGGTGTTGATTTGGTATTGAATTCACTTGCTGATGAAAAACTTCAGGCTTCAATTCGTTGCTTAGGAATTAACGGTCGTTTCTTGGAAATCGGGAAAATCGATATGAACGACAACACTCTATTGGGTATGTCTACGTTTTTGAGGAACACTTCATTCCATGGCATTTTGTTGGAACATCTTATGCAAGGCGACGACGAAAGTATTAAAACTGTTGTCGGTTTGGTGGCTGAGGGTATTACAAATGGTGTCGTTTGTCCACTGCCAACTACCGTTTTCAACAACAAACAAGTCGAGCAAGCATTCCGATTCATGGGTAGCGGCAAACACATTGGTAAAGTTGTGGTTAAAGTGAGGGATGAAGAATCACAAGTGGTATTGAAACCAACACCACAACGAATCTTGGCCATTTCACGTACATACATGTTTGATGAGAAATCCTACATCTTGGTAGGTGGTTTGGGTGGTTTTGGTTTGGAACTAGCCAACTGGATGGTAATACGTGGTGCCATCAAATTGGTGTTAAACTCACGTAGCGGTGTTAAGACTGGTTATCAATCATTGATGATTCGGCGCTGGAACGAACGCGGTGTTCAAGTTGTTATTGATATCAATGATGTTACCACATTGAAGGGAGCCAAAAATTTGCTCAAAGAAGCCAATAAATTAGGACCGGTTGGTGGAATTTTCAATCTTGCTGGTGTTTTGCGAGACGGTTTGTTGGATGATCAAATTGAAGACGATTTCAAAGCAGTTTGCGTACCAAAAATCAATGTAACCAAAAATTTGGATACCGTTTCACGTGACCTGTGCCCAGTTTTGGACTACTTTGTTTGCTTTTCGAGTGTGGCCTGTGGTCGTGGTAACATCGGTCAAACTAACTATGGTTTGGCTAACTCAGCCATGGATCGTATCTGTGAAAATCGTCAAGCATGCGGTTTGCCTGGAACATCTATTCAATGGGGAGCCATCGGTGAAACTGGCATGGTTATTGAAATATTGGGCGACAATGATATTGTTATTGGTGGTACATTGCCACAACGTATGGTTTCATGCTTGCAAATAATGGATCTGTTCATGCAACAACCACACGCAGTTCTCAGCTCAATGGTCATCGCCGAAAAGCGTAAGGCCGAAAGTAGCGACGACGTCACTTTGATCAGCCGTATTGCCAACATTATGGGAATGAAAGACTTTAAGAATGTACCCGATCAAACGTCATTGGCTGAATTAGGTATGGATTCTCTAATGGGCGTTGAAATTAAACAAACATTGGAATGGAACTACAATATTGCGATGAGTGCATCAGAAATTCGTCAACTGTCATTCGGCAAATTAAAAGCGTTGGGTAAGTTTGATTACCCAAGACATGGGTTGATTATTGACATTGTAATCAATGCTCATTTTACTCATGAAATCATTCCATTTTATTCAACAGTATCTGGAGACAGATGTGTTGCACCAGTTACCAAATATTGTGAGCCTGCTGTTCACACATTCATTCATGCGATGAATGAATCATATGTTCAGGGATTCTTCGATCCTATACCAACGGAAGTTTTGGTTAAAATTGAAACACAAGCACCAGCCGACAGTAAATATTCGCCATATTTCTTTGTTCATTCGATTGAAGGTTTTGTTACTTACATGAAACCATTGGCTGCAAAATTAAACGTTCCAGTTTATGGTTTGGAATGTACAAA